GTAAGGCTGTCATGGGTCTGTAGCTCTGTCACCGTTTTAGGGAACATATTTAGTTTTAAAGTTTTTAGAACATATTTAGTTTTAAAGTAAGTTACAGGGCTTTTCCTGCCTTTCTGGAGGGATTATATTTTACTAAAAAACGATCTAATATGCATGTCCACATAATTATGCATTATTATAATATTTTAAAAAACACAAGCTGTATTTTAAAGAACATACATTAAGAAGCAGATTATATTAGATTTATATTTTAAATAAGACAAAATTTGGATTTTACAGCAGTAAAATTATTGTATCTCTACAGTTTAAAAATGTAATAAAGTTTGCCCCTGCACAGAGTGGATAGTGAAACAAATGGAATCATAAATACATTATTTCATATTTATTACTTCCCCCTCCTCATTGCTTTATTATTGTAGCTCTAGTAATAAATAATAATGTAAGGATTCTGGATCAGCACCATGATGCCCATAGTATATACAGTATTCTGAAGAAGGTCTAAAGTGTCACTGTGTGTGCGTGCATGTGTTTGTTTTATGTATATGGATTTTTTTATATTATTACTCATGATATAACATTGGCTGGTAAGGACATGAGGAGGAAACAGTAGGAGCTGTGTGAGGCTACTAAAGGCAGTGCTATAACATTTTTCTGTCATCATTTTATTATAGATTAAGTGCTGGAGTTGTTAGGTGTGGATAGTTAGATAGTTAGATAGATAGTTTATTGCAATAGCAAGTTGTGCCTTGTTCTCAGATAGACAGCAAGTGGAGAGATATGTATGAAATGATGGGATGGAAGGAAGAAGAGAAGCAAAGAGTGATTCACAGGCAGAGCCTAAATTATTTCTCACAGTTTTTTGTTGCCTTATGGTTCCAAGCGCTGTCACCAATCTTTGCATTTTGTTGTTATCTCATGATACTTGTTTAATCAGCTACCATCTCTCCTATGGACTTTCTAATGTCTACAGTCTCAAATCAACACTGCCCTGCCCTTCCCATATTAGATTCTTGATGAATGTGTGTTGCTGTTATTCAGCCTGGTTCAATGTGCCCCTTTTTAACTTTGAGCACCCGCCCCTTTAAACCTCTCTGCACGGCCCTGCTCACAGTGGTATGAAAATAGATTCCAAAGAACTGCTAAGGGAAATATATATTAGCTTGGTTGTTTTAGGCAGGCCAGGCAATGCTAATGACTGCAATCCCTTGCTGTCTCAGTACTTTTTTTGTAGATACACTGTGATAGTTTTATAAAACCATAAATAGCAGGTTAAGCCTGTGAAAGATAAAATTCTTTTTAAACTTTGTCAGAGAAATTGAAAGGATAACATTACTTTATTACAACTTTATCTTATAAATTTACATTTTGGCCATCATTTCTCTTTCTGATAGCATTTCTTTTCCAAATAAAGACTTGACTTGGCAAGCCAGCCATGTATATTAGTGGACATCTACTTGGTCTAAGTTTAAAATGCAACTCAGTGCTGCTTTGCCTTACATTTTACCTACTGTGTGGCTTGCTGGCTACTAGTATGGATATCCTCAGTGTGCTTCAGCTTCATCTTTATGATCTTTAGGTCTCTTGAATGGATAGACTTGTAGTCCATCAGAATATGCATGTGGTTAGGTTAATGAGGATAGTAAATTGACCATAGGCATGAATGTGAGCATGAATGGTTGTCTGTCTCTCTGTTAGCCTGGCAACACTTTGGCAACCTCTACAGGGTGTCCTCTGCCTCTCGCCCAGTGACAGCTGGGATAGGCAACCCCCCCCCCCCCCCCCCCCCCCCCCATGACCCTGAATCGGATAAATGAAAAAATATCGATAAAATCGGTATAGTTATGGTTATGTGACTAAATTTGATCTAGTTTTTTTTTTTTAGTTTGCCTGCCTTCAAATGTGAGCAAAAAACAAAAAACAAAAAGGACAGACATAGAAACATCTAACTTTTTTAATTGTTCCAGGTTGATGGGGACATTATAGCAGAGAGGACTGTCATCGCTCAGGCCATCCCCTCCCACGGCTCTCTGTGGATGGGCTGTCGTCCCAGAGATCCACCCCCAGGACCTAATCTCGGAAATGTGGAGCTGTACTTGTTCCGCATGTGGGCAGACTTGGGTGCTCATGGGCCCTGCGAGGACGGCACTGTGATTGGCTGGAACGCCAAATACTGGGGAGTGACCAGTCCCAGCGCAAGGCAAATAGACCCCAGCCTTATGTGTGGTGAGCCAGATATGGAAGAATAACCTTGTCACGGATCATAACTGTTCTAAAGTAGATCTATTAATATTAATCATGAATGGACTGCCAAACTAACAGTGGCTGCATTCATAATAAAATGCAGGGCTGTCTTTTCTGTCACAGAAACAACCTTAATGTTAGCCAAACCAGCATGTTATTAAGCATTTATCTGATCCTGCCTTATTAGAGAAGTTGCTACAGCTTTGGAGTGTCACACGAGAGATTTCACACCAGAAATAAATTTTCAAGTCTTCCTTAAAGAGTTGAGAAAAATACTAGAAGTAAAAGTGATTATTGAAAATTGAAAATGTAAAACAATGAAAAAAAACCTTCCAAAGTAACAAAATAATTTTTAATCATAAAAAAGCAGAGCAAACATTTAGACATATTAGACAATTAACATTTAGACAGTTAACTTTCAACAGTAAGCACCCCCCCCCCCCAAAAAAACAAAACTACAGGAATGACACTAAAGCCTTTGCAGTACTGAGTTTTAGGCCTGCAAATTCAAGCTGCTACAACAATCTAAACTTGTTGGATGTATTCTCATTACGTGAATCAGACAAAACACTTCTTGCGAATATTTTAATATTGGTATCTCAATATTATTAGTTAAGCATGCCAATATCATTTGCTTAAAACAATAACATTGCATGCAAAACTTGTCTCTGTTATCTTTATGCCTATCACTTGTTCCCATACCACTGCAGTGCATGTTCTCCAAGCATGTTGAATGTTGAGTGTTGCATGTTTTTATGTGTCTTGTAGACCACAAACGGTTGAAACGTGGGGCTCGTGCTTACAGAAGCATTACTGATGGTGTGTATCCATGCGACTAGTGTGACTTAGACACCAGTATGCATGCTGTGTTTATTTCTCTAAATGTATGAATATAAAAGACTAAATATGTGTTTGTCCATTAGAGGATATTTCTATTGTTCATTTAAGACTGTGTAAATGTGGATTCTCACCTAAAACATAAAAAATATTATATTATTTTATTTTTACATAACCAGATGGCCTATTTTTCTGTAAATATGCTTTTCAGGAATGTTATTGCAGTGTAAGAGATAGGAGTACCTTAACAAAAACTGTATCACAATAGCGCAGAAACAACAAAGAAAGAGACTAGAGGAAATCTACCTTGTTTTTACAATGCAAAACCTGTAAAGAATTCCTTCACATTTACAGCAACTACACTGGGAGCTGGCCGGTCCCTGCTGCCTTCATCTGGTAAGCATCACCCTGAGACAAGTACTAAAATATACTCTAATAACAACCCACAGAAACTTCTTGTTGATGACTACTTTGCATATTTTTTTCACTATCTGTATAAAGAGATTTCATTTTGGTCCATTATTTTAGCCAGTAATAATGATTTGTGAGTTTGTCTTGTTACATTGGAGGCAAATCAGAAAAAACAACAGAAATCAAAGGATATTTTGTGGGATTATTTTGAGTTAAGATTTCTGTCTTTCGTATAAATTACAGGTATGTCACAATAACATGAAATCATAGAAGATGGCTGAAATTTGATTTCTGGGCTAATCATTTGCTGTTAGATATGGTCAAATTATTATACTGCTACATACACCCACCAGCCACATTATTAGGTACACCTTGCTAGTGTATTTGCCTTCAGAACTGCCTGAACTCTTTGTGTCATACATTCAGCAAGGTGCTGAAAACATTCCTCAGAGATTTTAGTCCATATTGACATGATAGCATCACAATTGCTGTGTATTTGTTGGCTGCACATCTATGATAAGAATCAATCAGCAAATCAAGGTGCTCTACTGGTTTGAGAAATAGTAACCACAGAAGCCATTTGAGTACAGTGAACTCACTGTCATGTTAAAAAAAACAGTTTGAGATCATTTGAGCTGTGGTCCTAATAGGATGAATACAAAGAGATAGACCTGGTCAGTCATTATACTCAAGTAGGCTGTGGCATTTGAACAACATTCAGTTGGTAGGGGCCAAATGTTTGTCAAGAAAAAATGCCCCACATTGTAGCATTATTATTACTGCTACTACTACTTGACACTGTGGGCGGGCCTTGGAGGTCCAGGGCTATCCAATCAAGTTACTGTGCTCCCTCAGCTGAATTCTACTAGTATACTTTAACTACAAGTTACATTAAGTTACATCATACAATTTGGGAAAAACCCACATAATCAGCCATATAACTGATAAGTTTTTCCAGTCCAGTAGTGTAGTGCTTCTGCCGCAATCATTATAACCGGCATCAGAGAGGAGGCCACTCACTGAGTGGATGGCCCTATGCAGATCAGACTATGGGAAGCACCCCTCATGTCTCTTTGAAACTAAAAAAGAGTTCATAGCTTGTGCAGCTACTTTTAAAGCATGACCCCTTGGAAAACAAATGGAAATATGTTGAGGATGTTGTGAGCTCACAGTCAACTGACCAAATGTGTGGTGAGGTGATTGGCAGTCTTCTGCACCTAGAGTTAATGTCTCTCATCTCTGTCATCTGATTTGTCATTATGTGATTTGAATTTGGCTCAAGAACCAACTGTCAAACTCGGTTGTCCATCCAATTTATATTCTCTGGTGCCGACCCTGCACTAGCCACATCAGTTAATAAAAGGCTGAGTGCACCAGATTTATTACACTAGATTCCTCACTATCTGGATGTCAGAGCAGAATCTGAGATTGATCACATCAGGCACCCAGACCTCCCTCTCCCCAGCCACCTCCCCCAGCATGTTCCACTGGGTCTGCCCCACAGTGTCCTCCCGGTGGAACATGCTCAGAACACCTCACCCATGCAGCATCACTGTCAGAGGCCTGAACCACCACAACTGGGTACTTTCAATGTGGAGAATGCAGCTATATTCTGAGCCCCTCATGGATGGCTGAACTCCTCACCCTATCTCTATCTCTAAGGAAGAGGCCAGCTACCCTTCAGAGAAGGCTGAAGGGTAGCTGCTGCAGCGCCAATCTGTCTTTGAAATTCTAGAAAAGCATTATTGGTGGAATGAAGTCAGATGGGTCATCAAATTAAATTTTTCACACACACAACCATACACAGTATGACGAGGTGGAATGCTTGCAGCTGTGCAGTGCCTGACCATTAAATGACAGTAGGTTTACAGTAAGATATACAAATTTACAGGTTACTACAAAATGTACAGCTTTAACTTAGAAATTTACAGTAAAAATGTGAGAAAAAAAAACAGTTTACGTAAGAGATTATTAGTCAAAAGAAATTATAAGTTATAAATTATAGGAAGTGTGCAAGAAAAAAAACCAGAGTGCGTGTGGTGATGTGTGTGAGAGTCCAGTCCTATAGTGATGTGATATGTGTGAGAGAATCTAGTCCTAGACCTGGTTCAGGTCCCAGAATAGCCTGGGGGAAGAAGCTCCTCTTCATTCTCTCTTTTTTGGCCTTAAGGAAGTGGAAGTGATGGGAGAGGTCCATCATAATCTTCCTGGCTTTGGTCTTGCACCACTTGGTGTAGATGGACAGCAGGTCAGGAAGCTCTGATCGAATGATGCATTCGGCTGAGCGCACCACTCTTTGCAGCTCTCGTCTCTCCTGCTTGGTGCTGTTCCCAAAGCAGGTGCAGATGTTTCCTGTCAGGACGCTCTCGATGGTGCAAGAGTAAAAGTTCTTGAGCACCCTCAGTGGCAGATGGAAGTCCCTGAGTCTTCTGAAGAAGACGTGAAGCTGGTGTTCTTTCTTAACGTGCGGCAGGACCATGACAGGTCCTCAGTGATGTGGACACTCAGGTATCAGAAACTGTCCACTCTCTCCACTGGCGTGCCACTGATGATGAGGGACTTGTAATTCCTCGTCTGCTCTAATCAAGAGATTAATGCATGTGGTAGTTTACCATCATGTGATACTTCTTTAGAGGGGAGGGAAAAACAAAAGCAGGTTCTTCTTTGGAGTCATCACTTTCATGCCGTTCTCACACTAGTAGCATCATTCTCTCAACTATTAATGTACTTCTGGAAACAGTTCTCCCAACACAGACCCATATGTGCAAAAGACACTAAAATAATTCTTGAAACTTTTTTGCATATATCAAAACATGTGAAGTCTTTAAGACACCTAATGATTTTAAACTTTTACCAAAACCTTGCTGTCTTTGGTATGAATACCAGAACTACAAAAATGTTGGAATTCAGAGACAAAAAAGAAATGTGAAGGATTTACTCTACAGTTTACTCAGTATGACTGCAGAAACTGAAAAAAGTCAGATCAGACACACGAAACTATCTTCATCTTCTTGTTCTATATTCGGCTGTTCTATTTAGGGGTCGCCATAGCCAATCATCAGCCTCCACCTCCAGCTCTGTCTCCTGTTTTTCTGACTATGCCACTGTCTCCAAACCCTACAACATAGGAAGTCTCACTACTGTCTTGTAAACCTTCCCTTTCACTTTTGCTGCTATCCTTCTTCACAAACCACTCCAGTAAAATATATAAAACATGGAACGCAGCACCAACTACTCTTTGCTACAGTGAAGTCACACATATAATTACAGTATGTGCTTGTGTGTAATTAGCAGTTCCATGACATGCACTTGTCTTGATGCAAGACTGAGAACATGTGTTTAGATTTGCTCTCAGTTGACGCATAATTTCACTACTACTACTGACAGCGTGTGACCGGCCTTACTCTTTCTTACATATTAGAAAAAAAGAAGTTTGCTTTGATTTCATTGCAAAATGCTAATGCAATGATGGAGAGTATCCAGGTAAGTCAGAGATCTGTAGTTCTGTTTACAGAGGTGTAACATTTAGATAGCAAATGCATCAACATGTGCAAATGTGGGTGGGAAAATGCATTCCTGATATGAAAACTGTATCAAAGCTATCAAGAAAACCTAAAAAATGACAGATACTGTCTAAAAACACCCAAAAAGCTAAACCCCCACAAACAACTAGATAATGGGACCAAATAATGGAATGGAGGGTATTCTATTTGCCAAAAATTAAAAGTTGGCACCTGAATATTTGTTGTATTTCAGTTTCCTCCATCATATTCTCAACAAATAGTCTTTCAGCCCCAGCACCAGTTTTACCTGTCACTACTAATCACATTCTCCGCACAGACACTACAGCTTCGCCTCTGAACTCAATCCTGCCCATGAACACCAGTTCAGCTAATCAGATCTCAACAAGCACCCACATACCGCCCGTCACAACTCCGGCAGCCAACCAAAGCACACCTGGAAGATTATTCACATCAGGTTAGCCTTTGCTAACATGCAGTCACTCGACATTTTATGTAACTGGAGATTCTGTTTACAGTTTGTGTTAGTAATGAGAAGAAACAATTTGTAAAGCTGACATTTTCTTTCAGGATCCACCAGATTAGTTCATTGTGATGTCCGTCAACTCTGTTCCAATAACAGTAAGCAAATATTCACTTCTTGTCCTTTCCGATTTCCTTTTTGCATTTGCATGGCCTCACAGATGTATTGCTTTCTGCAGGTGCTTACTATTGGATGCCCATAAGTGTAGAGGGCAACAAGACTGAAGAAGAGGTCCAAAATTTGGTGAGAATGACAAATTTCCCTTGTCCATCTCGTTACGTTTCTCATAAATCTTTCAGTTACCACCCGGTCATTGACACATGCTTTACAAACAAGTCTTGTAAGCACAATGTAAGTTTGTGGGAGCAGCGCATTCCAACCCTGTGAATCACCTGAAAATAATTTAGATTTTTTTACGCCAAATATTTGTTGCTTTATTACTACTTTGACCTTTTACAAATGTTGCTCCCTCTGTGTTATAAATATGGTTCTTTAAACCTCTTTTTTTTGCTTTCTTCAGTGTCTTCTCTTCTCCTTTCCATCATTCCTAACTTAAATGAACACTCCCTACATAATATTCTTACTGACACTTGATATGCAGTTCTCAGCCTATGTCAGATAGACCTTTCTACATTAAGACCATGATTATTAGCTGTCTCTAGTAGCTGTCTTTGCATAGTAAAGCTAATGATAAAACAAACAAAATGTAATGGCAACAGCAGTAATAGATATACAAATTATTAGACACTGTAGATATATTCACAGTCATTTCCTCCCAATAACCCTTTTTGCTTTGTACCTTTTTTCTCCTCTCCTTCAGCTTTGCGTTGCAGAAAGAAACTCATTACCTAACAACAAAGTTATGTGATCAAGATATTGTCCACTATGTTTCTACCCATAAAAGCAACAACCTTACCTGATTTAAATATATAAAATGTCCAGTTATGATTCTTTAATTTTGGGGGTGCTTCAGCACCCCCAAAATGAATCAAAGCACCC